GTGCAGGCGATTACAGTCCGCGCGTGGTCATTGAACCGGCTTTTGCCTGATAACTCGGTTTCGTAGCGCGGACGCCTTGATAAACGAGCGGATCGCTTCCGGTGCGCGCGCGGACTGTGCTCGCGCGTCGAATTATCGCGGAGGTTTCCATCGGCGCGATGCCGGTGCGAGGTGCGTTCGACAGTGTTGTTCGACTTCACGGCCGACACTGTTGTGACTGGACCCCGTCGATCGATAATGGAACTTGTTGTTGACTGTGTTAAGCATCGCCGCCGATGATGACCAAGCGTCAACAATGCTCGTGTAACTCTACACGCGCTGCATTACCTGCATCGTGCGTCCAAAAATAAAAGTCCGCGACGTCGACCGGATTAATTACGCTTTCACAGGCAATTATTTAGTCCGTCCGGACGGCACTGGACGCGCGCGGAAAATGCTGATCCGGGGGGAAAAATAGATCATCGAAATGGCAAACGGACTATAAATATCGGAAAATTCTGTCTGTTTGTAAAGTGAAAAAAACATTTGATACTAGATATACGGAACCCGTCAAAATGACGGGTCACTGATTTTTTAATTTACGATTGTTCGTGTCGTAAAGATACATTTATGAGCTATTTATTCAATTTATATATGTTAATTACGGCAAATGTTACAATAACATTTACTGAAAATGAAAATAAATGTCGAATTGTTACTTTTATAAACTGAAATAAAACAGCTGTTTCTTGTGTTCCGTAAATCTAGTGTTAACACTATGCCGTCCGGTGGCACCACGCTGGTGCCATGCGAAAACTATCTGTTGTACGCCGGTGGCACCACGCTGGTGCCATTTTTAAAAGACTGATATTTCAAATGTTATTACATTTGAACTATATTTCTTAGGTGTTAAAAGGCAGCAAACTGACTATAGCATTGTGCTTATTTAACTTTAAGAATTATGCACGAAAATTCTTGGATGACTTATCTTAATTTTAGGAATTTATATTACCGCCATCTTCGAAATTTTTTTTTAAATCTAAAATCTCCAAGCTATTATGCCGGCGTCGATCAAAAGAATCATATCTAAGATCTGCGGACGGCATAGTGTTAATAACACTTATTGTACAATATCATTTCCGTCGTTGCTTACGACCTCTTGCCAGCGTGATGGCAATTTGTAAATACGTCCATATGTGAACTACCATTTCAAGAGAAGTTAATTTGCCAAATTCTGTATTACACGTGATGATACAAATATTCATAGTGTATTTACTATATTTCAAAAATCTATTTTTCCCTATTTTCCCCCATTTACTTAGCTTACATTTATTTGGTAAAACGACAAGTGCGCCAGATTCGGACCACCTCAGCACTCTACACAGAGTGCTAACACTTCGAAGCAGGATCGATCGCTGTAACCGACCACTTTTATCGGCGTTAACCCTTTCGCTCCGATATTCGTCATCCATATGAACACTCGCGGAGCCGAACGCCGGATATATCCGACATCCACATGATCGCCCTCTGGGGACGAACGCCGGATATATCCGACATGCTGGTATTGCGTGAATCTTTTGACGAAACAAACAAACGACAGTCCGAAATAAACGACACACCATTCAAGTTATATTTGTTCTACCTGCATTTCCCATTATTATTGTGTTACATGTCATAAAGGGATAGAAAATCGAAAGTACTAACTTTAGGACTAATTATTATGTATTATGTTTTGTATTATGAATATTATGTTTTATTTTATTACTGTATATTATATATTATTTCTTCACTTTTTCCATTGTTAATGAAACTTTTTTTACCTATTAAATAACTTTATACTTTATGCAGAAATTATAACTATATTGTTTTAAAGAAAAATCCCTTTTCTTCCCAAATACACTATCCACGCGCAATGTGCACAATTTCGGCGGGTGGTTCCGTTCAGGAGGGGCGCTACGGCGGTCTGAACCGCCGTAGCGAAAGGGTTAATCCTTGTTTTCCGATGACTAAGACCGTCTCGCAGGTGCTATATACGGTGCCCGAGTTGCCCGTCGTGTTTTTCGGCCCCCGTTACCACTAAATCCCGACGGGCAGCCGTGAACTCGATTCGCCGTCCCGTCGAAACGCGGTCGCGTGTCGCGTATTCTTGCCGGTGTCAATGGAGAAAAATAACAGAGAACGAAAGTGGTTACGCGTTGCCGCGCGACGTCAACCGACCAATTACGCTTTTGTCGTTTAATTAGACGCGCCGGCGGCTGCGGCGACGACAGCTCGCCGTTCTCTAGCGGGACCATTCAATCCTCCGACAGCCATTGTTCCCGCCTTTCGTCCGCGAATAGTTTAATCGACGCGTTCGCCGCGCGAAACGACGGACAAATGCTGCGGCCGCGAAAATGAATGAGCGGTCCCTTTTTTATTGCGTCTTGGCGCCGTTCATTCGGATCCCTCGACGTTGCGATTTCTGCGCGATCGTCTCTTTATCTCGGGGAAATCTAATCGCGTCTGTTCCGGAAACGTTTTACGAGATGGAGGATATTCTAGAACCTTCATAAGCGTTTTTATTCCTTTATCTTTATTACTTTTTTATCTCATTTTCTCTGAAAGCGCTTTCGAAAATATTGTACTTTCCTTTGATTAATAAAACGGCCGGAATCGTGGCAACCATGAGGACAATTGCTCACGAGGCTCTGTACTATAGTATCTGTACTATAATATATCAATTTTGACTATTTCTAATCGTAAAAATTTGTAAGTGTTATCGAAAGAGTAACAAATATATGCAAAAGAACGCCGATGCAAGAAGTCGTATAGTTTTTTTTGTGAAACAAATATCAAATAAACCAAAAAAAAACGCGATCTAGACTAAAACATTCTTTTAAACTCAAACGCAAGATTGCATCGTGAAATTTAGATATTCGAGATTCGTCGCTGGATATTACGTAACGCCGTATTAATTAATTGGCGAGCTTCTGTGCAACAATTGGGCAACGGCGGAATCCGAGTGAGAAGCGCCGTGTCGATCGAAAAACACGGCACCGCCCGATTACAATGTAACCAGCGAATTAATGAGATTAATTATTACGCGAGCGAAATACGCGTGGGAGCGCGAGCGCACGGCGTAATTGGTCTTAGGCACCGGCAGGAAAGCCGGAGCCGGAATGGCTCGTTTGCAGGAATTACTCAACACCGCGCAGGAACGCGAACAACGCCGGGGCGCTCTTTGTAAACCGACGCGCGGCCACCATCGATTCAGCCGATCGCTCTCAATGGGAATTAGTTTCGAGGCTGCTTCGGAGCCCTGCCGGTTCCACAAAGGATCCATATCGGAACCGGTAGTTGGAAAACTTTAAACTGCTTTCCTTCCGTCGGAGATTCGCGAGCAACCCCGGCGAAGAAAGCTTCGCTTGTAGCGGCACTTTAAACTTTGATTGAGATTTCAACGAGGCTGTGTACATATTAAGATTAATACCGTAGAGCTTTCTGATCCTGTGTCCGCTATTATTTTGCCTAGAAATACTGCACAAAATCGAATTGTTTATTTCATTCTTGTGAGATGTACTCGAAACTACAGATTCGTAGAGATATTTATGATAATGGATTTGCTCTTTGGAAGATCGATCTAGCTAAGCAGTTAAGCCGAGTCAAGATTCACGGATTCGATGAGCCTTTGTCTTGAGAAGAATCCAGACATTAGCTGCTGCCGAATTAGCCACCCGAAGATAGCATTCTCTTCGAAAGATCTACGATGTCGGGAGCTATTCGATGTCAGCGCGAATAAATCTAATGGCTCTTCATCATCAAAAATTATGGACTTAGCTTAGTCCAAGTCAGAAGAGATGGATTCGATGATCCTTCGTCTTGAAGAATCCAGAAATTAGCTGCTGCCGAATTAGCTACCCGAAGATAGCATTCTCTTCGAAAGATCTACGATGTCGGGAGCTACTCGATGTCAGCGCGAATAAATCTAATGGCTCTTCATCATCAAACATTATGGACTTAGCTTAGTCCAAGTCAGAAGAGATGGATTCGATGATCCTTCGTTTTGAAGAATCCAGAAATTAGCTGCAGCGAGTCAACGTGCTCTCTAAAAAGGATCAACGATTTAACTATTCGATGTCAGAACTAATGAATCCAATAGCTTTTATTGTTAAACATTATGGAGTTAAATGGTCCAAGTCGGTGGATACAGATTCAACGAGATTGCTTTCTGAAGGACCTTGAATTAGCTACCCGAAGATAGCACCCTCTTTAAAGGATCTACGACGTCGGAAGCTACTCGATGTCAGCGCAAATAAATCTAATGGCTCTTCATCATCAAACATTATGGACTTAGCTTAGTCCAAGTCAGAAGAGATGGATTCGATGATCCTTCGTCTTGAAGAATCCAGAAATTAGCTGCAGCGAGTCGACGTGCTCTCTAAAGGATCAACGATTTAACTATTCGATGTTATTGTTAAACATGATGATGGCTTTTATTGTTAAACATCATGAAGTTAGATGGTCCAAGTCGGTGGACAGGTTCAATAAGATTGCTTTCCGAAGGACCCTGAATTAGCTACCCGAAGGTAGCACCCTCTTTGAAGCATCTACGATATCGGGAGCTACTCGATATCAGCGCGAATAAATCCAATGGCTCTTCATCATCAAACATTATGGACTTAGCTTAGTCCAAGTTAGAAGAGACGGATTCGACGAATCTTCTTAAAGAACCCAGAATTGATCTACCTTGAGCCAGTACCCTCAATTTAGCTACTTCAATACAGCATTACCGAATCCAACGAACCTTTCCTATCAATTACGAAATGGTCCAAATCGAAGAAGACGGATTCAATGATCCTGCTTTCAAACGAACTTCCGTACCAGATGTAAGTTCAGTTAAAAACGAAACTGCACAGCAAATCACGCAACAGAAAGCATTCACAGTGACATCGGAAGCGCAGGCATATCGTACCTTTGCCGATCGTGATGCGATCCTGAACGCCGTTCCACGATGGATTAGTAACAAAATAAGCAAGACTTACGTCGCACGCGTTAGAAACGTCGCTGGTCTCGTCGTCTGGCGTGGCTAGGGGCGCGCGAGAGTTCAAATCATGAGTCTCGGCAGTCTCCTCGATGAGATCGGAGTCGGCGCCGGTCTCCGGGCACTTGGTCTCGGAGAAGATGGTCGCGTTGCCATCGGACACGATCGCTTCGGTCTTCTCGATGAACGTGGGCTCGGAGACTGACAGCTCGCTGGACGATTCCGCAATCGCGTTCTGCTCGTCCGCGTTATCGTTCGCTTCCTCTTTCACCTCCTCCTCTCTCGCCGCCTCGTCCTCGTCCATCGAACTCCGCGCCGGAGGCTCCGGCTTCTCCGAAGACAGACCCTCGAAACCCAGGACCTCATCCCGAAGCCGTTCCGCGTCGTTCTCCTCGCTGAGGACGCGACGCTCGGTGTCTATGAACTCCTGAGTGCTGGCCGCGTCCGTGGACGCGTCCGAGTTGCTCAAGGTGACGTCGTCGAAGCTCCTGGACCCGACAGCGTTCACCGCCTGCGCCTCCTCTTCGATCTCATCGATCGGCCTCTCGGGTATCGAGCAATCCTCCGGATCCTCGGGTATCTTCTCGTCGACCGAGCTGGACGACTTGTCGTCCAGAGACACTTTCGACTCCTCTTCGACCGGGAGCTCGTTCACGTCTTCGGCGTCCTCCTCCTTCCCGGTCTCCGGCATCGCGGGTTCGAAAGGATCGTCGGGCTTGTCGCTCTGAATCAAAGACGACCCGTCCTCCAGTTCCCTGGCAGTAAAGGAGTCGGGGCTCTGCTGGCACAGGGTCTGATCAAAGTTGTCCGAGAACTGGCCAGCCAGCTGACTCTCCTGAAAGGTTACCTGCTCCGACCAGGTGTCCGACGTGTCCCTGCTCAGATCACCGCCCAAAGTGATCTCCGTCTGCAAGAGATCCGCGCCCTCCAGCACCTTCCCCGACGCCTCCTCCTCCTCCTCTTCCTCCTCCTGGTACTTGTCCACGCATATGACAGGCGTCGCAGAGGTTACCTGGTCGGAGAGAATGTCCTGGACCGATTCGACGGCTAGATGGGGCATCTCCGAAGGCCTGTCTTCGAGGTCCGGAGCTCGGCTGACGGGATCGTCGACGGGACACGAGGCTTCCTCGTCCTGGCTCCGGTGGAATAGCCTGCCGTCGTCGCGAGCCGGCTGATCGAACTCGTCGGCGTCTGTTTTCTGGATGACGATCGCGCCGCCAACTTCCGGCTCCTCGGTGAACACCTGCTCCTCTTCCTCCTCGCGGAAACCGGTCAGAATCGGCTCCGGCTTCGCGTTCTCCCCGTACGAGGACCCGGTGATCTTGGTGTCCGGCGACACGTGGCCGTTCTGGTAGCTGTACGGCTCCTCGATCAGCGAACAGTGCTCGGACTCCATCACGATGAACTCCGTGTTCATGTCGAAGGTGTCCTGCCGCCTGTCCAGCACGATCCTCTTCACCGTTTCCGGCTGGTTCGTCGCGGGCTCATCCTCTTCTTCCTGGTCCGTCTCCACCACGGTGTCCTGCTCCGCGTTCGAGCTGATCCGCAGCGCCAGCTCGCTCTCGATCAGCTCCTGCAGGCTCTTGTCGTCCGTGTCTAGCTCGTTACGCGTGTTGTTAGTCAGGATTAGGTCGTCCTCGTCGTCGTTGGTCTCGCACAACGATATTAATTGATTGTTACTGGCGGTTAGGTTATCCAAATCGAGCAAACCGTTGTTAGACTGCACACCGCACACCTCGTTCTTCTTGTTACTTACGACGCTGATCGACTTCTTCGTCGCCACCTCCGCCATTATGGCGCGCCTCGATCCTCCGACAGTCGCACCGTGGACACCTGCAATCAGACGACAAGTCGTTAATCTTTGTCGTTAATTTTTTAGGCTCGTTGTTACGTTAAGCAATCGTTGGATTGTCTACGCGTTTACGGCAAAATCGGGTGATTCCAATTTAAAACAGTGTAAAGATTCAAAGGAGATCGAAACATCAATGTAGATGATACAGTAATGTCTCCCTTACTGACGCTCAGATCGTCCACTAAATTGGATAATTTGGGAAGGGGGGATACGTTTATTCGAGCCTTGCGGCTCGTTTTTATAATCGTGGACAATTTATAACTGTATAAATAAATCGTATCTCCTCTTCTCAAATTGACCAGTTTTGTGCGCAATCTCGGCATCAATTAGAGAGACTTTACTGTACTTTTAATCTATCGAGATGATTCGAGAAAGAATGAACTTTTGCTATCTAGTTTCTATTACTTGCAATTAATTGAGATCGTTTTTATTTTTAAATTAATTTAAACATCCGCAGATTTTGTAATTCTTCGTGAATCGTGTTAAACTAATATGTCTGCATGCCGAGATTTAATATGATTCATAATTTATATTCTGATAATTANGTGTTTTGTGCGTATCAAGTGCGTCCTTTTCTGCTGCCGTCAATTTGTGCTCCATTTGTATGTTTTCGAGAAGGATACTTTTTCCCGTAAATAAATAAATAAATAACTAAATAACTAAATAACTAACTAACTAAATAAATAAATAAATAAATAAATAAATAAATAAATAACTGAATAACTGAATAACTAAATAAATAAATAAATAAATAAATAACTGAATAACTGAATAACTGAATAACTGAATAACTGAATAACTAAATAACTAAATAACTAAATAACTAAATAACTAAATAACTAAATAACTAAATAACTAAATAACTAAATAACTAAATAACTAAATAACTAAATAACTAAATAACTAAATAACTAAATAACTAAATAACTAAATAACTAAATAACTAAATAACTAAATAACTAAATAACTAAATAACTAAATAACTAAATAACTAAATAACTAAATAACTAAATAACTAAATAACTAAATAACTAAATAACTAAATAACTAAATAACTAAATAACTAAATAACTAAATAACTAAATAACTAAATAACTAAATAACTAAATAACTAAATAACTAAATAACTAAATAACTAAATAACTAAATAACTAAATAACTAAATAACTAAATAACTAAATAACTAAATAACTAAATAACTAAATAACTAAATAACTAAATAACTAAATAACTAAATAACTAAATAACTAAATAACTAAATAACTAAATAACTAAATAACTAAATAACTAAATAACTAAATAACTAAATAACTAAATAACTAAATAACTAAATAACTAAATAACTAAATAACTAAATAACTAAATAACTAAATAACTAAATAACTAAATAACTAAATAACTAAATAACTAAATAACTAAATAACTAAATAACTAAATAACTAAATAACTAAATAACTAAATAACTAAATAACTAAATAACTAAATAACTAAATAACTAAATAACTAAATAACTAAATAACTAAATAACTAAATAACTAAATAACTAAATAACTAAATAACTAAATAACTAAATATCTAAATAACTAAATAAATAAATAACTAAATGACTGGATAAATAAATAACTAAATAAATGACTAAATGACTGAATAAATAAATAAGTAAATAAATAGCTAAATAAATAAATAAGTAAATGAATAAATAAAATAAGGGTTTCCATCGAATAACCAGCACGACACGCGAGACGTAGCCCGGAGCGCAATGAATCCCGAAAGAAATGGCGTCGGGGTTTATAGTTACGAGAAGATGAGGCCCGCCGCGAGTGGCCCCATAAACGTAACAGGGAGTCGTGTTCGTTATTCGACAAAGAGTCGGCCGGAGGTCGGCCGCAGGAATTCGAGGGGAGCCGAACGCGTACCGTTGCGTTTTCTTGATTTACGGGACGCGAATAATAGATCGGATGCACGGTCGGTCATTCACGGGGGCCCACGCTACTCGGAGCGGGTCAGATCGGTTTCAATATTCGACGGCGTCGCGCGCGAAAGAAGGTCACCGGATATTTCGGGACCAACAATTTTCTCGGGCTTAATTAAGGGGCGAAGGGGGTGGTGGGGCGCGAGTCTTAATTCGCCGACCGAATTAGATTCCCCGAGATTGCTTGGGCTGCGAATATCCGCGCAATTGCCATTACAAATCGTGGACGATAAAGATGAGATCTGGAGGACCTCTTTGCACCTCGAGGCGCGACACCGAGTACGCGACAAGGGGTTTCGGAATTAGATTCCTTGGATAGAAATGCATTGGGGAGTGCGATTTATTTTTCTGACTCTGTGTTTTCGAGAACATTGAGACTCGGCTCGAAGACGCGAGCAACGTCCAACGATGGATTTTCAAAATTAAATTATTGCTCCGAGGCCTTCGTGACCTAGACTAAAATTGTTGGCATGAAGTCCTACAGCGTAAGAGGAGCTGAGACGGATAGAACGCCTTTCGGACTCGGCAGAAGGCACTTTTGGATCGGATTTTTCAGAAAATCGTCTGTTTTAGCAGAAGCGAGTGAAATATAATTGTTTGTCCAGACTTTGGGGCGTGAAAGAAACTGTTGAAATCTAACCATTGCAAACCTGATGAGTTTAATAGACGACTACATGAATTTTTAAATAATCGCATTAACGTATATTACACCTTCGGCCTGCGGTTACCGGGTCATTCTGACCCAGAGTATTTAAATCGTCAAAGTTAATTATTCTTTACTCAAAGAATAACAGAACAACTAATAAATCTACAAGAAATATCCACAAAAATTCGTTTGCAAAAATTGCTAAATAAATTCTAATAGTCGTTATAAACATCATCAATTATGCTATTGTGAAATTGGTCCGTCATCCGAGGGTTGACGATGACTCGTACGAAGTTGCGACCGCTGCCGTTCTCCGTTTATGGGTTAGGTCATGGGTGAAAATTATTCTCGGATCGGATTTGTCGGAAAATCGAGACGAGCATGAATGAACCGCGTTCGAGGATGTTTGTTCAGAGGAATCCTGCGGTGTCCTCCGGCGAACCGAATCGGAATCGGCCCGCGGGGGTGTCGGATGCTGCTGGTTATTAATAATCCCGTGTATTTGGACGGCGCTCCGTCAGAGCATCCGCAGTCCGGCGATTACGAAAGTATGCAGCCGGAGATCCTTTCCTGAAACGGCGACGCCGACTTATTCTTAGATCGCTCCGCATTCGGTCGGACAAGGAAATCTATTCTTCTCGGGGGTCGCCCTGCGGTAATTCGCGGCAGCGTTTTCTGTCCGCGGGCAAACCGTCGCGTCGCGTCGAGTCGCGTCGGGTCGGGTCGCGGCGACAGGAATACGAGGCACGTTCCTCCGTGGGGCTGATCCGAGCCGACAGCTCGAGTTCTCCGTCCTCCGCGGAGGCGCGAGCACACGGACGCGAAATTAACGGAAGACACGGCCGCATGGAAGACAGGAAGCGGTGTGCAGGCCAGCGTCGTTGGCTGCCAAGCCAAATCCCCCTATTATTAGCCATTCCGTGCGGCCGCGTATTTATGCCGTACCGACCGAACGTATTTCGAAAATGAAACCTGAAACTGCTCAAGGATACTCGGACGCTTCCTGGAGTCCGCCGCGAGAACGCGCTTCCGCGTCGCGAAAGTCGGGCAAACTTCGTTCTCGAGCAAGATCGACTTTGGAATTCAATCACCGGGCTGTCTCGAAATTTCTCGCGATTTTGGCACGTGGTATACGCATAAAGGGTGGCTTTCCATTGCTTTTTATTACGATTTTTCCATCGTGTCGCAGGCAGCAAGACTTTTTGCTCTGCGAACACGTGACAGATCGGATGGCCGCGATTTATTTCAAGACGTTCAATTCGATGGACAGTGAAACGGTCTCGACGTCGGACTGGAAAAGCTAGCTTTTAGAAACAGGTTTCATTGTCCCCTATGCGCATCCTTGTTTATTAAATGCGACCGAGACCAGAGTTGGTCGACGCTTCATTCGAACGACGAGCGAGAGACAAAGGCAAACGAATAAAATTTCCTTCGACTCTATCGAATAAACGTCTAATTGACGAAAAATCTATCCGGGTAACAATTTATCCGTACATAATTTGATTCGATTAAAATACCAACAGTTCTTGCACCGGTATCCGGCGCGATGTACCTGCAATCTTCTGATGCGTTTTATTCTACCATACGTTGGTTCGGTTCTTCGAGGATTTTCGATGTGTACGAACGGTACGTACTTACGTTGGGACCTAATTTAATGAGCATCTGGTCCGAGCGTGTCCAAAGAAGCGCAAAAATTCGCCAACAAGAAGAGATTCCGCCGATGGCCACGGTTATGATTCCGTTAGCCAGTGTCGCGCGGCGTGTTTCCAGGGTATCGGGTCTAGGCAAAACCACGCGGAAACACGCGGTTCGTCTAAAGCGGTCGTTAACGAATACCTAACTGTCTCGTCGACGGCGCCGATCTATCGCAACGTTGGTTATCGCGGCTCTTGCACCGATCGCTCTTTCGTAATTACCGCGCCGCCGGGTAGGGGAGCAGCGAGCTTCTGGTTCCGGTAGCGGAACAGGCTCCGTTCGGTGTTTCTGCAAACAGCTGGAAAACGGAATCGCGTTTTCCAGCGGTTGGTAACGACTCGACAAATTCCAGGGGATACGGTTGCCGGCCGGCCACGGTTTATAAACAGAGAAAGAGACCGGTCTTGATCGCTCTCTTACTCCCTCCCCCTCTTTCTCTCTCTCTCTCTTTCTCTCGCTCTCGCTCTCTCTCTCGCGCTATCTCTTTCTCTCTCTCCCCGCCTCTCGCATAAACCGACGCGGTAAAATTAGAAAGTGCACTCGGCGAAGAGCGCAAGCGCCGCAGCATCGGCGCATGCGCGATCGCAGCGCTGCGCTGCGTGATATTTAAAATCGCGCGGACGATGGTTCGTCGTCGTCGTCGTCGTCGTCGTCAGCCGGCTCTTAAA